CTCACCTCAAAATTCCATGACCAATATGCATATATCATGGATATAAGTATTCACAGCCCTTGTTCAGTACTTGGTTAAAGCTCTTGGCAGCAGTTACAACCTCAAGCCATTTTGAGTATGATGCTGCAAACTTGGTACACACATTTATTGACAGTTTCTTCTTTGGAGAACCTCTCAAGCTCAATCATGTTGGGCCTGGTGGTTCCATTCTTCTTCCATTTACAGATAATGGAGGCCATTGTGATTTATTGTGACCTTCATTGCTGCAGAAATTTTTCTGTACCTTTCTCCTGATCTGTGCCTTGATACAATCCTGTCTCAAAGATCTACAGACAATTCCTGGACTTCATTGCTTGGTTTGTGCACTGACATCCACTGTCAACTATGATACCATATATAGACAGGTGTGTGCCCTTCCAAATCATGTTCAATTAGGTGAATTTACTGGAGGTGGACTCCAGCCAAGTTGTCGAGAAAAATCTGACAAATGATCAGTGGAAACAGGATGCACCTGTGCTCAACTTTGAGTGTCATGTCAGGCTGTGAATACGTGTGTAAAATGTTATATACACATTTATAACATTTTACATTTATATTTTTAAATACATTCTTTGAATTTATATATACACATTTATACAAGCAAACCCTAAAGTCATTATTGGGTGTTGTGTGCAGAATATTGTGTATGGTGAAGAATAACTTTGAATAATGTTTAGTAATATTTGAGGTTAATATATACTGAGTTGACAATATGGCCTTTTTAAATTTCTATGTTATAATGTTAATTAATTAGTTTATATTTTTTGAACAGACTCTTATTTTTATGCATAAAAAGACACATTTTAGAGACAAAATCTGCCAAAATAGTAGTCCTGAAGATGTAATCTGAAGAGGGATGACTCAGTTATTACTCTTTTTAGTTTGTTTCTTTGTTTTATTTAGTTTTATAGCAAAATGGGAAAATCTAAAGTTAGATACACAATAAAAAGTAGCCATGTGTTGGTGTAGCATTATTACATAATCTAACAAGAGGCAGGAAAACAGCTGATAACAGAACAGCAGAAATGAAAAATGCAAGGAAATAAACTGACAACCATTTTTCATGAAGCACTCTATCCCAAATATTCCCTTCATCTGTTTGTATGTGAGGACCCAATTTTTCAGAGCCAATTTAGAACTATTCCACCCATGGTCACTCTTGCTGCAGATGAATCCCCTTGTGTAACATCTGGCAGTCTCTAGGCACCGTGCATCCCTCTATTTACTCCCTTTCTCATAAGCTAGTGTAAAATTGGCCCTTTGAATCTTCACCACAGTTGATTCCTCATTCAGTGAGGCAGCCGTTCCCAGTGCGCAGTCAAATTCTTTCTTTATTTTGTGTAATATGCTAAACACTGCCACATAAGTTCTCTCTGTCTGTTTCTTTAGACGGATGAATGTGGCAGAACAGCTCTGAATTCCCTTGCTCCCAGTGCTATGATGTGTGCCAGTCTCCTGGATTATGAGACATATGGAGGTATGTGAGTACACAAACTAGAGCAAATGAACTCAGAGAGACTATAGCACACTATCATATGCAAACAGTCTACAAAGTGTATGCATAAATACTGTGATGGGAAAAACCAATATAGACATGCACTCATCCATAAACATAAAAATTCACACATTGTTAAACCTTGCATATTACAAATTTTAGTGCAGTAAGAGAGTTTAAATTTTGGAAATGCCTAAAAACCCCAACTTAGATATGCAGACGTAAGAGTAATATTTTCATTTTGAGAAGTTAATCCAAATCTTTAGTTGTTAAACCGCAGGGGCTGGAGGAACACTCTAAAGAGCACTTCCCTTTCCCATTATATAATAGGGGCAAAGCAAAACTGTTTCTTAAGATTAAATGTAAATTTGAATTGCTGTTAAACATTAATAGCTGACTAATTAAAATAGAAATGTGGACCAACATATAAACGGAATCACTGCAGCATGAATAATGCTGCTTTAAAATGATAAAAAAAAAAGTCAGATCTTTTGTGTTTTGACCTTGTTTTCTTGCAATAATGAACATGGACATAAAATAAGCGTAAAACAGACGTGGAAAAGAGGGAGGGCTCAAATACAGCCTCTTAGACCACATTGTGTTGTGCTGATGGCTGCCATCTGTCCTGTGAAACTAGACCACAAAGGTCACTTTCATTTTGACAACTTATTGTCAAAGTATAGGTTTGTGTATGTGTGTGTGAAGGTCTTTGTGTTGCTGAAAGTACCAGTTTCTCTGTGTGTGCAGTAAGTCTTTTTTTCATCAGTGCTGAGGGATTTAAAGCTAGTAATGCCTTATCCTGGCTTGGTACCAGTGACATATTTATCACTAGTCTACCTCTTTGAACTGAAGATGCTCTGGGGTGTCAAGAAAAAAAAGACAATAATTCATATGTAACATCCTCTTTTTGTATGTCTTGTGATACATCTTTGAAGAACTTGCTGTTGTTGTATTTTGCTAAACCTTGTATGAACACATGAAACACACTTTCCTTCCACAGTGCTGGATTCATGCCAAATATCTTGTGGAAATGATTGATACTGCTAATGCTTGTCCACTGGAGCCAGGAAAGTTCCATTAGCATTAACACTGGAACGAGAGAGGAGCCTCTCTGCCTCTGTCCAATCATGAAAAGGATTAACCATGAGCATTTAAATTTTAACAATGAATCAACAATTAATATTGAATATTTTGTTTTCTCTGTACAAAACCCAAAGTGTCAAAAACAAGCCGATCCACTGTGGGCACGGTAGCCTCATTAATGTGAAGGGACCAGGAAATTAACATGCTCAGACAAGAAAATGACTTGGAAAGTGTCAGGGACCACTGGATTTGGAGACATTAAAAATTTTCTTTGAACTATGTCCTCATGTAGAAGCACATTATTCTCCGGGGCAATATTACAACCCTCTAGCTCAATGTTACGGTCACCAGTTATAATAATATCACGGTTGTTTGTAAGAAGTCATGTATTTTCTGTCATTTTGGTCTGATAGATTGATCCAAGTACATGTGTTATATAAGACTTAGACACCATTTTTATGGACTAGAAAGAGTGATGAACTGGAATGACGTGGAATTTAAAAAGGCTTTGTTTTTCCACTCGTTTAGAAACCAGCTGCTGAATTCACTCAAAACTGACCCAGAATTCAAAAGTGAACTGAATTAAGCTACAGATTATGTTTTCAGTTTTGTCAACGGTATAATCTTTAATCTGTGCTTGCATTTAACAGACATTGCACCAAAACTGTGAGCTCAGGGACTAGATGTGTCCCGAATACACCTTGAAAGTCAAAGTTACTTTTACAACAACATCTTGTGTATACAAGCTTGTACGTTTTAATAAAATAACCAGATATTGTGCTCTGAAGACGTTTTTGTCCCGTTACTGCTTTCTTATTTTTTGAATATTTGTGTCAGATCATCTATTTTCTCACAAGTCTTGGTGATCATCAAGATGATGATGCACACTTTTTTTTTCATGTGAAGATTATGTTATCAGTATATGATGTGTTAATTAGCAGCTAAGCGAACCCATTTCCTCGTTTCAGGCATTTTAAATTAGAATTATATCAATTATCGTCTTTTACCAAACTCTTGCCACAAAATCAGTGAGCCTATTGAGTAAAATGTCTCTAACAAAGATTAAGAACTCTTTGCTGGAAGAGCAGTTTTCACTAAGCAGTCTGTATTTCCTGTTACAAAAGGCCAATTGATACTAATGACTTATCCCTTTTAAAAAGAAATCACATTAATTGCCGGTATTTCCCATCACCCTTAAACCTCACCAAAATTCATTGAGCCTATCAGTTAACCTCTTATATACCAACTCAATTACTAACCTAAATGGCAAACTTGGATTGGAATATTAATATGAGTGTTTTTGTTGTGATAACTGCTGTGGTAAATGCTTACACAGGTACACTATAGTATCATATAATAATACTAATAGGATGACATGGCAATGTCTTCTGAAAGCCAGAACAACTTTTCATGTTACAGTAGCACCGTTACACTGTAGCTGGAAACAGAAAAAAAATAATTAAAAAAAGGAGAGATTCATTTTTTTTACAGAAAAAAGATCACAGACTCAAAGCACTATATTAACTATGCATAGTATTTTTTAGTGCCTCAGTAAAATGCATGTGATATCACCATAACAAGTCAATTTTAACTTGGAGAACATGGTTCACAATAAGACTGGGATAAATTCCTGCAGGACATCTGCAGGCTATTTTCAATTCCTAAGGGATAGCTATGAGCTGTGTAACACTGCACACACTAATGCACAGACGCAGACACACACACACACACACAGGGGCACACACACACAACAGCAGCAAAACATCACCCCCGGATGTATCAGATTACACCATGCAGTACATTCAATTGCATCTGATGGCAGATGGTGTAAACAAAATCAAACACACGTAATCTTGAGGATTGGATCCTTCAGTGAGTTATTAACCCTGATATTCAAAAACCTGACTAAGGACTAGACATATTAAGGCAAGGAGCAGCATGTGAGGCATCTGAGCTGAGTCATATCTTTTTTAAACTGCTTATTTAGTTGGGTTTCTTTTTCAATGTTATTATAATCACATGTTTGTTATACTAAATGCAATGAAACTGTTGTACATACAAATATGATATGACATGTGATATGAAATAATCTTTTTTTTTGTTGAGATTAAGCTTACCTACAGTGGTGATGTAGTTTGATACTTTGGAGTGGTGTATAGGCCACTGGTGTACAGTAAGCATCTTCATTTTATTGTCTTAAAAAGATGTGTAAGATTACCAGGTCAATGCAAGCATTAAAGCAGATAATAGGTAGGCAAATTAAACAGACTGCTGGTCAGTTTGCTAATGGTTGTCTAAACACTTTTTAAAATTACTAAAAATGGAGAAACTAAGCAGACCTTATTACCTCATTGCCCATGGCATATGTAAATAACAGACTCACCATCCCTCAGCCAGATGACCTTGCTGACACTTTGTGCGAATGATGGCTCTCAGGTCCTTCAGGTTGTCTTTATTATGCCATCTAACATTAGTCTCTCTCGAACACCGTGTCTCCTCCTCGACTTCTGAAAAATAAAACATACCCTAGAGTGAATTTCTTTGTTTGTTCCAGTTTAAATAAATTAATCCCCCAGTTAGATTTTTAATGGGGGTGTTAGGGGCAGGTGGGATGGTGGAAACGAGGAGGAAAGAGAGGGAGGCAATTTGCTAATGGAACAGAGAAAAATGGTGTATGGGCCCAGGATGAAAAAGGAGGAGAAAAAAAGAGATGAGAAAAAAAACCCTTGGTCTGTCTGGAGAGTAAAAGACTGAGCTATAGAGCGGGCGCTAAAGTGGTTTTAAAAAAGATCATTAACTGCCATCTTCATCTCAGGTGCAAGGTTAGAGAGTGAGGGATACTTCAAGAAACATAGGAGAGTGGAAGAGTAAAGTCTACGAACTTCATTTAATTACCTGCTTTAGATCTGCAATGCCCCCCCAAGCCCATCCCTACACACACACACATGCATACCCTCATACCCCCACATCCTCTCACCCCGATGCAGCCATTGCACAGTCCTGTCCTACACAACGACTGAGTCTTACCTTGAGGGTAAGATGCAGTGGACCCTTGAGACTGTGACACAGGTATTTAACTATTAATTACTGTGCAACTGGAGTCTACAAATTTTGTCCTGATACCCAGTTGCCCTGTAACTGCATGTTTAGATTAGAAGCCACAGACTCAGTCAGCAACATGACACTCCAGGATTTAGGCCTCTTAATTTGGTAAAACAGTATTTACAATTTATCAGGTCACACTTCAATGGAAATCACAAGGACTTGGTTAGATGTTCGTTTGATTGAAGCATGACAGATATTCTTTGGTGTGCCTTATGGCTATATACTGTAAAGGGCTCCAAAAAAACTATGCAGAATATTTATGAAATAATCTTTGGTGAGTGAATGTTCCCAGATATTACTCGTGTGTGAGACATTTTTATCCAGCTCTTGAAGTTGAAGAGAGCCTTTTTGTGCCACAGCTTAAATAGTATATAGTGTCAGTATCATTTTTTAATTCACAATGGAACCTAAATCTCTTTTAATCACTGCAAATGGCAGAGTAGCCAGATAAGGCTGACACAATATGAAAAGGGGAATCAGTTGTATCCAAAATCAGCCTGGAGAAGAATGCTAACCTTGAATAATGTTCAATTACTTTTGAGGCTACTACATGCTGAATCAACAAATCCGCCTTAGTATTTTAAACCACTAGATTAAAAGGCTATCTGATTAGATTAGATGTTTTGTAAGGACTGTGATATTTCATGCATAAGAGGACACATTTACACACAAGCTGCAAAGGCTCTGTGCGCATGTACCACAGAGCAGCGACCCGGTACCACTTGTGTTTACACCGTCGTTAAAGACTATTGTAGGATATATCACATGCTTGGTTAACCATATCATTCTAATAGACTGCTAAGAATAGGGGTATTTTGATCAAGTGGATAAGAGGCCCTTGCGGATAGAAAGAAAGCAGTTTAACAAATACCTACAGAAATTTGACTCTAAACAAAGTAATGCTGTGATCAAGTGAATGTGAACTCAAGGAAAAAAAAAGTTGAAGCAAAAGTGAATGGCATGACATTGATTTTCTACTATGATCATTTATCTATTCACCACAAACAAAGTATAGAAAACAAAAGGAATCTTCTGGCGACTGCAGCTAAACAGTTGCACTGGGCCTTGCTGAGATCCTGAAGCTTATCGTGATCAAAAGCCGCATGATGCAAAATCCTCACTGGGCTTGAGATTGTTTTTATTTGTTTGTTATTATCATTCTGTCCATCCACTCCTTTTTCCCCTCTAATTGCCTCTGTGAAGGGACTTTTATCATTTTAGATATCATCGTTATAGTCCCCTGACTTGAAAAAATACATAAGTCAGTGAATGTGGGTATGCATCTTAATTAGTTGTTTAGAATGGTGATGAGACGTTTTACTTTTTAATCATTTCACTGTTTCATTGAGTGCTGAAAAGGAATCTAAACCATTTTTCACATTATGAGAAAGGAAATAGGAGGAATACCCCAAAATAAAATGATCGTTACATCTTCTAATCATCACACCATGCCCTCTTTTGTATAGTCGCATGGACTCCCCGAGAGCACAGAACGCGGTCCTCTGAGAAGCAGCTATACTGCTTTTTCACCTACCAGTGTGTATATTTTCTGCTGCATGCTGTGGCTCTGGGGGTGTTTTACACTGATTCCCGGGAGGCAGGAGTCTATTTATACAGGATCTTAAAACAGGATAGTCATACACCTCCCACCTCCCAGCTCCACCCTTGCAGCACCAGCTTTAGGTGACACACAGCCACATGATAGCCCAATCTAATCTTTTAATCACTCTGGTAACTTCATGTCTCAGGGTGAGTTGGAGCAAGCTAACGGTGGGGATGGAAAATCGTCTGCAGAGATATGATATGATCCTTGAACACGTAACAAAAAAAAAAAAAACACACACACACAAACTCCCATGCACACTTATACACACTGTCCCGCTCCACCCCATCCCCAGAGTACTATGGCGAAGCCTCATGTATCTGTGGGTATTAACAGATCAGCACAGAGCTGTAGCCACCCTGCTTTAAAGTCTTTTCTTGAGGTAGTGCTTCAGAAGCCTGCTGCAGAGGAGGATAAACGCACAGCAATCCCCCAGGCCCAGCGCCTCCTCAGCTCCCTCTTTGCTGCCCCCCACCTTCTCCTCCATTCCTCACTTATCCTTACTTTCCTTCCATCCCTTATTATTTGTCTCCCTCTTCTTTTCCTCAGCATCTCATTCTTTCTGTAACACTCCTTGTCCCCACCTTCCCTTTGGCCTTTCATAGTATTCTACTTTTCATGTCTACTTATCGTCATCCTCTCCCATTTTGTGTCCATCACTTTCTCGAGCCTTTGCCCCCACGTTGTTTTCGTTCTGCTTCAGACCTCAGTAACAAACAAGGCTTATTATTATTGCCATAAAGTAGCATCTCAATCTGAGAAGACACAGAGACACTGCAGAAAGTGAGGATGACAAGGGGGAGAATATGCAGTGAAACTAAAGTTAATGAACATGAAAAAATGCAGTGTAACCTCTGTCATAAGAACAAGCCCCAGTTACACATTTCTAGAGACCAGTTGGCTACCCCCTGGCCAGGTGTAATTGGTCACAAAGAGGTATAGAGAACTGCACTGAAAACCTCTTTGTGAATGTTCTGGTTGCTAACAAATTTCCACAGTTGCAATTTGCATGGAAGATGCTGCTTTGTCCACAAACACTCACTAACTACAGAGTACTACTGAAACTATGAAAAAGAGACTGTTTACACTCAAAGTAAAAACAACCTGTGGGGTCCTAGGGGGTTGCCAACCAGTCTATAGACCTGAGTGATTGTGGCCTTAGGTTAATTATGCGGTAAGGTGAATCTGAAAAACTAAAGAAAAAAAAAGATTACAAAACAAACTTCTCTGGAGTGGGGGTTGCAACCACATAGAATAAATAATAGATGACAATATTTTCTGAATGTTGTCAGAAGTTATTTTTTCAGGACTAAAACTCCAAACACTAGCACTACCTGACAGCCAACTTAAGCACTGAGGAAAATCGAGGTTGTGGAAGTGAGCTCAAGATAACAGTCCTGAAAATAACAAAAAAATAACAGTTTAACTATTAGTCAAAAAGTATTTTTGTGGGGCTACATGGCATTTAAATAGATTTTTATAATCTACAATTCTGCCATATTACGAACTCTTTGGTCTTGTTGTTGTTGTTTTTTTCTCTGGTGAAATGTAATATCCATGTTCACTCTGTGAGTTCTCTTCCTCTACCCAACAGAGTGACTGATTGGACAGCACAAATTATCTGTGTACAAATATAACATTTACTGTGACTTGTAAACTTGTAAACCAATGTAATGAGAGACGTATCACATTTTTGTGTAATGGTTGACTTAATGGTGATCAAATTCAGTTTTTTTTTTTAAACATATATCTGTATGTTTGCTGTCAATGAGTCCCTGGGGACATCCTAGAGATTATGCAATCCAAAAACACTGAGAGACTAATGTGGTCAATATATTGCATTGACATCCTGCCAAGACACAGAGGCAGAATGAGTTCATTACATTTGGTTTAAAAAGGAAAAAAAACAAGACTCTAGAGCAAATTGCATTTTTTGGGGGGGAAAGTAAAAGCTACACTATATTCATCAATCCTTGTCAGGGTGTTATTCATTAAAAGCAAAAACTAAAAAAAAATAAAAGGAAAGAATAAGAAAAAAAAACCTTGAAATGTGCTTGAAATAATTTTGTAAGTGAGAAAGGAGTTAAAAAAGCTAAAAACTGCTGCAAATATAATCCTTGTTAAAGACTAGACAGAGAGAGGCGTGTAAATAAAGTGACAGAGAGACATGTAGACAAATACTTTGCCATTCAAACACACAGAATGATAGATGAACATGAAGGCAGACTGACAGGCAGACCAGGGAAGGCTAAGTAGGCTGAATCCAAATTAAGCTGATCAGTGCTCACTGTGAGTTAATCTAGTTATGTGGATAAAGGACTTCCCTATGGCTAAAAACACAGCAAGTTATGAGTCAGAGTGTGTGTGTGTGTGTGTGTGTGTGTGTGTGTGTGTGTGTGTGTGTGTGTGTGTGTGTGT